TACTCAGCTTAACCAGTCAACTCTGCGGGATGTAGAGACTGAACAGTTAGCAATAAATCTCCGTATGATACGTATTAATTTATTATCTTCTTTTCTTCATAAATTAAAAACTGGGAAACGGTTAATAATTTATTTATTGCCGCACTGGTGCAATAAAGAGTAAATAGTATTTAGTAAATGTTAATTTATTCTACTTCGTGACTAGATAGTGAGATTTTGCATTTTTCACTATTTTGTCGAATGGCGAATTGTAACTGAATTGTGCTATGTTTAGCGTCATAACTTTTATTGAGTTAAATAAGTATTCATTAGGTGTTAAAACTGTCAGCTTTCTTAGTCCAGCTACGGTTGCACATACCTCTTCCACAGTCTAATATTCTGAACTTTATTTATTTACAAAACGTGTTTTATTTCAGGGCGATCCAATTAAGCAAGAAACTGTGAAATCAGTAACATTTTTTGCTTTCTTTGCTGTTAATTCTTTGAAGTTCGGATGAGAGAAGCACATTAATATTGCCGGGAGAATCTTTTTAAAATTCAACCGATTCCCCAAAGGTTTTTCGTTTATCTAATTAACGATATTAGATTCGGATGGTGCGCGCAGTGATGAACGCGGCCAAGCCCCAAACAAGACGTGTAATTATTTTCGAACGGCCCGTTTTGAATTTGATTTATCTTTACACAGACATGAAGTCTGATTGGGTCCATGCAGTGCTCTCCTTTTATCTTTAATTAACTAGTTTGAATTTGGGAAAACACCAAAAACAAATATTTCCAGGGAAGTTGTCAATACCGGTTGAAAGAAACTATTAGCTACGCTCTATTTGGCGATTTCTTACCAGATGTCCATTTTCTAAGAGCAGAACGTTTTGGAGAGATGAATATATACAAATCGTTTCATAATAAGTTTGAAGCAGTTTTTTAAATTATATTTAATGGGGTTTATCGTATTGCGTAGGGTAGAAGTAGCCTACTGCCAAAAATATTTCTTTTATAGGAAAATTACCTTTACGATGTACTTTATATGTACTGAAGTTTTTCGAAAACTGGAAAGATATCGCAAAAATTTAAAAACTTCTGAAGTAGTTATGCCATGCCGAAAAGTAGGGACACTGAATAAAAAATTTCATAAATCGAATTCAAAAATAATCTAATGCATTTGCATTTGACTCATTTTTAGAATTTTTGTTTCACCTGTTGCGATCATCAATGCCACACCGGAGAAAAAATTGTTATAGGTACCAACGCAAACAAGATTAGAGTTCAATTGATTTCGTTTTCCAGTTTCCCATTGATAAATATAATTTTTCTAAACTCGAACTCTGCGCTAACAAACAAACGTACTTAATCATTTCGAACACAAACTTAGCATATGCAATCCTACATGGTAAAACTAAAATTTATTTATTTGCTGTCCAAACTGGCGGTCGTAATTTACTGTCGCCGAATTTCCTGAACACCAGATATTCCGTTGTATTTATAAAATTAAGTAAGGGACCGCCATGTTGAATCCGAAGGCATTTTTGTTCCTAATTAGATACGCTGTCATGCAAGAAGATTGATTATAGTTTTAGAAACCGAATCTACCATAATGCGGCACCTATAATGAGCGGTGGGTCGTTGGAGGTCGGGGTCTGCCTAACAAGAAGCAGGTCCACCCAAATTGATTTTTTTGTAATTGGATGGAAAAGGAAAAAGTGGGCCTAAATAATTTTTCTCACCAGATTATTTATTATGAAATTCACGACTATTATTATTTTAACCAATTCCTCGAATAATTGTTTTCAACTTCCCTTGAGGAGGACCGTAATTAATTGAAAACAGTAGCGTGGACCAAAAGGGGCTTTCTCATAAATGCAACAAAAGTTCATTAATTTTTGTCGAAAACCAAACCGGTAGTAATTTAGAAAACGCCAAGGTTAATTCGTCCAGAGATTAACAGTAATCAATCACAATCAGCGCGGCCGCGAAGAATCTTCGACAGTTTTCTTATTAAACCCGAACTAATTGTAATTATTACGTGGCCGTTGTTTCGAAATTCGCTCGAACAGAGAAGAAGAAGGAACATAGAATGATTTATGCCACATTTATAAACTCATTATCTCGAATGCAAGAGCTCTGTGACCGCCTAGAGCTCGCCGTGATTGGCGTCGCAGGGCCTTCCATTCAAACTGCACTGTATAATTATTTCCTTTTTCCCTCGTGAAGGTAGGCTTTTATGATTAGGTGTATGAGAAAGTATTTTAATAATAATTGCTACCGACTGGCTGTTGAAAATTATGTACATTTTCTGCTATTTATTACTACCAACATATTCTTATTCAATTAAATTACGGCGGAAGAAGTATTTCAAGAAGGCAGGGAAGAAAAAGGTATGTTCCAAAGTTCGAACACTTTTGAGGAAATTGATTTCCTGTTTTTACTAATGTTTTCTTTATGAACATAGGCTTTTTTAAATTAATTTGAGTCTTTTGTTTATTCTAACTTTTCTGTTGGTGTGTAGTTCAACCCTCATCAATGTATCTTGCCGCCAATCACTAATTTCAATTTCAAGAGCGGAATAACTGACTATCAAGAGACACAGGTAGTAAAGATTATTACTCCATTCAGGCCGCAATTAGCATCTATTTGGAACATAAGAAACAACTTTGATTTCAGTTTCTTCGAATACCCTATTTTGCGACCAGAAATACTCAATTACCTATTTAAAGTCTTCGCAACAAATTTTTCTAAATTCAATCAACATTTTCTGAGTTTCAAGTTTAATACAGAAGCTGATTCGACTCAATGCCCCAAGTTCCTTTAAGCTTGCTTAATTTTATAAGTAATTAAAAACTTTGTGCCCCTGTCTAAAAACCATCCACATTTCTAATACCCGAAATCCCATTTCAACTTAAACAAAAAATTCTCCATCCATCCATTAGCACCCAGCTTCCGAAGCATGATGGCGTCCTCAATTATTTTTCCACCCTCGGGCAGAAACGGAATCCGGGGGTAAACCAACACGAAAACGGAGTTAGGGAGATCGACAAAGATGAATGGTCGTTTCCGTCTCAAGAGGCGACATTCGTAAGGGAAAACGACGTTCATGACATGTGTGCAGAAAAAAGATTCTTCAAAGCATGCCGAAATTGAATATGTGAACGTTTTATTTGATCCTGTTTTGTCTGCTGTGGGGGGCCCATGTTTACTCGCTTCTGTCCTTAGAGTCGCCATTGAAAACGTTTGAAGTAATATGTTGACACCTATCTTGGTATGTCCGTTGGTCAAGCTTCCGATTTCGGACGGTATTCTTCCGATAGACCTAACTGAAATATCTGACTTTCCGATCGTTGAGCATGTATTTTTACATGCCATCAAAATGTGCCATTCTGTAAATAATTTATTGAGAAAATAACTAATCACCACCAGCATGAAAAAGTTCAGGATGTGGTCATTAAGTCCTTATTTATAAGATGAACGTTGCTGCAAAATGCCTTTGCACAGATCCGAGCCTCAGATTAACCGTTTCATATGACATTTATAAATGTGCTTCGCCTGCCTACTCACTTGGTCTGAACTTTGCCAACTAACACAGCCGAATTTGTTGGAAATAATACGATATGTAGAAGAAAAATATCATGTTAAACTAATGACAAATTACGATAAGAACATTGATGCGATCCAGAAAAATAGTCATCGGTGATAAGTAAAATAACATCCGTCGAAGGTATTTGAAGCACTATTCATTCAGTCGTAGCATTTGCATTCAAATGGTTTAGCCTATAGCCGTGTTTCACTCGTTTATTTTTAGTTCGGATAATCCTTTAGCTATAATTCCGATGCAATTTACAAATAACTATCTTATTAAAATTTGAAAAGAATTAACTTTCAAATTGCTAAGATAATGCATTTTATTTTCCTTTATTGCGATACGGTTTTATGAGTAATTTTTCGATAGTTGCAAATATTCGTTCAGTTATTTCCAGCTTGTCCAAATTATTCGTTAGTATTCATCATTGGCATGGATTCACCAAATGCTTGCTTCTCAAAACTGTGTTTTTGTGACATCAGTTTTATTCTAATGTTTTAAAATGTATTTTAATTAATTGCTCACCCTCAATATTTATAGGATTATTTTTATTTTGTTTGGCGATGTGTCTGGGATTTGGGAGAACCATATTCATATCAGAATCGCCCACTAATATTTCTGGAACTGTTTGACATTTAAAGCCGTTTAATCATCTAAATATTCAATTTCAGTTTTATATTTAATTCATTCGTTTATCAAGATCATCTTGTTAATTTCGAACAAAATTATCATCAAGTATCTTACTAACAAAGATTTATATTTTTACAGGCACTGACCACTTTCAAGAATATATAAATACAACTTATAAAGATTGCAATATTTTATCCTAAATTCGTAGGCGCGATAGTTTAACATTCATTTCAAGAAATCCAAATTTGCCTCAGTCAATTGAAAGATTGTGGACAACTGTTTGGAAACAGTGTACTTATAAAGTATCTGTACATGTAAAAGTAATGTCTCTAATAAAAATATGGGTTGTGAAGTTCCTGGTCTTTGCTAGAAAATATTGATCTGATCGGCGCTTTTGATCTACAAATTGATTTTTGAATTACTCTTAAGCAAATGCGAAATTGCATGTTAAAGCAAACATTATAGCAGCACCATTACTTAAGGCAGTACGTTCTTGAGAGAATCTTATGCAACAAAGCTCTCAATATGAATGTCAACAATTAAAATTACAATAAACTATTGCAAGAAGGCTTGTTGCGATACTGAGGAAATTCCATTGCTAGTTATTAGCTTGTAACTGAAAGAGAAATGAGATTTGTTGTGTAGGTTTATTCTAGAACTTCAGTGGAAACAGTTGTCTGCCCTTGAATTGGTGTAGCAGTTATAGATACATTGGTGGCCCTTAAAACTTGATCTAATTATGAAGAAACTTAATCAATATCAATTTGAGAACTAATGAAATATTTGTCTTCTATTCCAGAAAGAAAACGTGGGCGACAAACCTACACCAGGTACCAAACACTAGAATTAGAAAAAGAATTCCACTTCAATAGGTACCTGACTCGACGAAGAAGGATAGAAATAGCTCATGCTCTGTGTTTAACTGAGAGACAGATAAAAATCTGGTTTCAAAACCGTCGGATGAAATGGAAAAAAGAAAATAAATCCAAAGGTGAAGGCGGTTCAGAAGGAGGCGGAGACGACATCAGTCCGCAAGGTTCTCCCCAGTAGTGGGACCGAACCGAACTGAGTACCTAATAATAACATGTAGTCATTGCATTTTCATTTTTGAAGGTGTGTAATTATGCCTCTTAAAATATAATATCATAATTGGCATTTAGAATCTGAATTTGGATGTAATCTTTTTGATAAACTCAGACTTGATACTCTGAGTACTCATATATTGGGTTTCTGGGATAGTGTTGATTGACTGGCACAAAGGTTCCAAACAGCCAATAACGTTTGTTGCGTTACTACATTATACCAGTGTTAATTGCTTCTCAAAATTTGTCACTTTCAAACAAAATAAAACGTTTATCCAAACATTATCAGACCACAACTGCTGAACGCTTTCCGGGTGCAAATCGCATTCAATATGTTGTCAGGTCTCTATACAATTCAACCCCATAAGCCAAATCAAAAATAAAGGGCTGATGAAAGGCGAGGAGAGTCTGAAATAGAAAGACAACGCGAAGGAGGATGTTTATCCTACGGTTGCCAAAGATCCAACGAAAATCAAAATGTTGTATAATTCAATCGATAATTCAACAATCACTGCTGCCTTCTATTTCAAATTACCCACCTAGTCGAGCTGTATAACTTTCAAAACTAGTTGCATAACGTCAAATGCAATGTGAGTAAGCAAAACAATCAAATTTCTTAAGCAAAGAAGAACAGCGGTTCTAGGACAGCTAACTCCAAACTTTATCCATGAACACAAGAAATATGCCTCCTGTAGGGCCTCTGTTTATTACCTTATATTATATATCTATGGTGCTTATGTGCACTATAGACTGGCTTAATCAATTCTAATCAATCATGTTTTAAAGGCTTAGTGGGTCTTAGTGCGAAATGTGACCGTTTTACAGGGTGTCCCATAAGTAATAGTACAAAATTTATCGGCGGGTTTCTGGTGTTTTCGAAACGTCAGGAAAAAAATCTTCGAGAAAGTTTCAAGGCATGGCCTCGAAGGCCTATCTCTGTTTATAATTAGTTATTTTTACTAGAATTAGGTATTCAAGGGTGTCAGTTTATGCCAGGTCATAGATGTGCCACCTGAAGCAAATGATTCGCATTTAAAATCAATCTAGCTTTTTTCAATACTTCCAACTAACAACTAACAACTAACACTAAGATATCGGTTTGCAAATACTTTCAAAACAAAAACAGTATAACCAGTTGGTATATCTGAGATCAACGGTTTTCGAGATCATTGAAATTAAAGTATTTGGTGCGATGTATTATCGTATATATTGTACTATTATTGTTAACCGCTTAATAACATTAAAAAACTGATCAGTTTATAACAAAAGTTGTTCGAAATTGCGTTCTTTAACTTCAATGCATTTAGTTAAACAATCTAATTAAAAATATAGATATTGATTCTACAGAAAAATCTACAGGGCATTTTCAATTTTTATGAGTAATTCGCCTCGATTATCTATCGTTGCTTCATACACTAAATACTTCCCATAGGCACATAAAAATCTAAAGGATTAAGGTCCGGACTTCGTGCTGGCTACCAACTAGGTACAACTTTCTTGTTTATACAATTTCCTAAAGCAGATATGCAAGTCTCAGTTGTCCCTGGGCAATATCAAAAAACTGTTAGGGCGATTTTAAAGCGCATTAATTGCTGCAGGTGGCACTTTCTATGAGCTGACTTGAAGCGAAGTTGCTAGTTAAATTTGTCACCCTCAAAAACCTTTGAATCTCTACCTAATTTTGTAGACTTTTGAATACCTAAGTAGTTCTTGATTTTATTAAAAAACACTACTTAAAAACATCTTTGGCCCCCTGCATTTCCGGTTCTGTTGATCTTTTTTAATTATGAGAAAGGTCAACGTTTATTAAAACGTTTTGTAAAATTATTTTCTCCACAGAAAGTCGCCATTAAAATTTTTAACATTTCTTATGGGACTGTTTAAAGCATGACCAGTCGAAACATTTTACAATCAAACACAAAACGTCTTATTATCTCTTGGTCAATTATGACGTGATTATAAATATGCAACGCGTTTCAAAAATTTACCGATGAAAAGACCTCCAAAAAGAAATTGAAATAAATTGGCCTATTACATTGGCCCATTACAGATCGGTTTGTTTTTATAATACGATTCTGTAGTTAGAACGAACTGTATTGAACTGTAGTTACGAACTACTTAGGTAGTTTTAGTTACTATTTGACTAATTTCCGAATCAAGATCCGTCAAATTATGCATGGCTCTGGATTTTGGACGCTGCTCACGAGTCGTTTGAAGCGAATTAGTTTGAATTTTTTAAAATTGTTCAGCAGTTAATTAAGCACTAACCAAGATGACCATCCTGCTTGCCTCAGATGTCACCACCCTTATCTTACTTACCGGAGAATAACAAAAAAATCATTTAAGGTAACCAAAAGCTTTAGCAATGAAAGGGAACCAAAAAAATTGTAGTATTTGATCTAATCCGCCCAAAAGGATTACAATTTGAAATCGTTTTTTTGATACAAAATTTCACATACTTCCTATGATAAGTATATAAATTCTGATTCAAATTTGAACCTAACATTACATCCAGATTCATTTTCTCCAAATTTACTTTACAACCACAACGACCTCGTTTTCTATGTATACTTAGTTCCAATTTAACAAATCGTTATGAATAGTTTATTTATTATTTATACATTGTAGATAGTATAGAACATTTATATGGTTGTGTTAGTAATGACGCGAGTGAAAAGTATGGAATAGTTTAAACCAGATATTGTGAAATTGAGATTGTGATCGCGTTGAACATGTGAGCATGAATTTTACCTCATCGGATATCTTCGTCTTATCGGACCTGCAAATATAGGATTTGTGCAATCGGTTGATATTTTAAAATATCTTTTTTTAGTAGATACTCGTGGTCTTGACTTGTCATGGGCTGAACTTTGTCCAGCAAAATTGAAATACATTTCTTTATCGAACTGAAAACTGGAATCTGCAATTCAGGTTTTCATTTCAGTTTCAGTCTTTTTTTCTGAAATGATTTGGAATTATCATAGTCTTTAAATATTTTACTAATAAGTCAAAAAAACTAGATGTACGTTTGTGAACTAATTGCACTATTTTTCATTTTGCAGCATTTATTTTACTTTATTAAATCTTATGACAGATATTAAAATTTAATCGGAACTCAGCTTTTGATGTTCGATAACGTAACTCGTTATAACGTTTTAATATTTGTTCATAGTTCTCTTCAGCTCCATAATTTATAAATATTGAAGTCTCTCGTCATCCACATGGAATACAAGGCAAAGCTTTAATGGATAGAACCAAATGATGTTAAGGTGTTAATGTAGCTAATTTTCGAGATTATCAGTCTTAGTCAATATGGTCACCTTATAGCTTTTGAGAAAAATAGCTGCATATAGGCAATCACGTAAAAACAGCCTTTAACCAGTACAATCTAAAATGGTCCGAAATATCTCCATTACCTTTACCTATTGCCTATTATCTCTCAAACCAGCAAACGCAAAAAAATTATGGTGAACAGCAATTATTTTATGCACCTGTGTTGGTTCATTTCAGACTGTTGCTATAAACGAAATATTTTTTAGATTCTGTTTATGGAGAAACCTCAATACATTTTTGCCAAATCCTTCATGATAAAAGCTTGTATTCCACTTGACATATTCTAATTTTGTTATCAAACTTTTCTATAATAAGTACAATTCAACTCTCAATCCAACTGTTAGATAATACGACAACTCGACTCTTATACAATTAACGTACCTTTTTAAACCATTCCCGACTTTTAACTTACCTTGTGCGGCAAACTGATTTACCCATCTTCACCTTGTATGTTATATTTTACTTTTCGAATAGGATAACTTCCAAAATGCAAAAAATGAAGTGACAGTTTTTTAATACAATCTACTTATCCCGGTTATTTGTTAAAAGTAGCAGAAATGTCTATTTTTTTCTACTACTATTTTTGCTAAAGCTTACATGCAACTCACGTATCAAGTTATAGCAGATATAATTGTTGAAATACATGCAAATTTGACGTTAGTGTGTAACAGCAGTAACGCAATAATTCGCAAAGCAATTTATTTTTAACATTAGTTATGATATCTGATAATTCCGCAAGCACTATTCAATTACGTTCTTCACAACTTATTTTAGCATGTTTTATATTATGTTAACTCTTTTTCGTGTTGTCGGTGATCTAAATACACTTCTTCTAAGCTGAGTGATGAGCGAAACTACTGTTCTTTTCTTTCTGCAACTATTAACCAAGGTTGCATACCTAATCAGAAAGTGTTGGAAACCTTTATTTTCATACGGGTCTATTATTTAAAAGTAAGGCACTCCAAAAATGCATTTATTTGAGTCACTTACCTGTCATACCTAATCAGCCTGTACAGTAAATTTGCTATTCTTTTTCTAAACTAGTTTACTTTTGCGTCGTCAGATCAATTTATTAAATAAGAGGCCAGTGATATGTGCAATTAAAAATTAAAATGCCCTGATATATGAGATATTACTTACATGAAAACTTGTTCTGAACGATGGAGGAAAAAATATCCAAAGGGCAGTGATGCAGTTGGGATTTGCTAAGGTATCTGTAATGGCGCATCCAGATTTAATGAGCCGAGCCTTAGCTGAGCCTGAACCGCAGCGAATTTCTTTGATGTTGCGTCAAAACACCGACAGAAAATATATCGTCTGTCGGTGTTTTGACCAAATTTCAAATACATTTTGCCGCGGCTCAGACTCGGGTGAGTCTGGACTCGTCAGGTCTGGACGCGCCATAATGCATACGTTCACAGAACCTGTTCTTGAACAGTCAATTTCAACCGTTCAGAAAGGTTTAACAAAATTTGAATAAATTTTGCTGATTTCAAAGCTTCAAAGCAAACTGTGTTTGTAAATATATTGGTAAAGAGTCGAACGAATGAATTCAAATGGTAGTGGCAAGTATTTATTGCATGTATGCTTGTCGAGATAACTGAACGTTTTGAAATCATCATAATTACACACACGGTTTCAATGTGTTCAAAATACTACTCATAAGCATAATTCTTAAGATTTAATTCTTTTAAACTTTAATTAAATAGGGATTTCAATAAATGCATTTGAATTGGGAAAATTTAATGTCTATCGAGTGTGAAAATCTCATTAACATTTAAGTCAAGTCCGTATTTGATTGATCGTTTCGAGGAAACACTATTTGAAAAGTTGATTACTTATAAAGTTGTAGATATTCCCTTCTATATGTACATGATTGCAGTATGTTTTTCTGAAATTTGTATATAGTTATCCCGGTGGAAAGGATATGAAATATACGATATTTAAAATATGCACTCTCATGCCAAAGTTAGTGTAAAATATTATTATGGATTAAAAAAAATCATCAGCGTCAATGCAGTATGAAAATGTTCTGAAAAAGGAAGAATCAAAATCGATTGGGAACGCAAATGAGAAGAAAAAAATGTTGAGCTGCAAATGAGATCTAAAGACAAACGCATTGGTGCTAATGGTAATTTTTTTAAAGTTTTGTATAAATAAAAATTATTCATTTAAGATAAATAGAATATTGTTGATACAAAGAAAATACTTGAAATACGTAAGTAATACTGTGACATTTTTACAAATTTTGTCCATTTTCGTACTTATTTCGAAATTATATTTCTCTACGAATATTTAATAGGGCTTTTAAAAAAGATAGGGAAAATTGTTTAAGAACAAACTAAAATACGTAAAACACGTTACAAATGAAAGTATACGCATTACATAAATTACATTACAAAAATGTACAAAATTTTAGGAAAAGCCAGCAAATTTAAGTTAGTTCCTAGTTTTTTGGTATGCGTAATTGTATCCGAATGACGGCATTTTCGGTACAAAGTATACATAAAGAGAAAAGTATTTTTAGACATTAATTTTGTAAATATCGAGTCCCGAAAAACGTTTGTTACTTTTTGCTATTCGCTAATGCTCTGTTCTCTATTTCGATTCAACTGGTACCTACTGGTAAAATCTTCTTTTTTCGGAAATAATGGCAAATAAAATTGAGACACATTATTATAATAATTTTGAATATATGGAACTCAAAGTGTTGAGTACGAGTTTTGTTAACAATGCTAGGAACTCAATTGAATAACAAACCGTACGGGCAGGTTCCGAAATTTCCGTTTTAATATCGTAAGTAGAAACATAATAGATATTTGTGCTGTGGTGTAATATTCTAGAGATAATTAGTCGTAAGTTTTTACAATACTTTAATTTGGATGATGATAACTTGTTTTTATTTTGTAAATTATGACGTTATTGTAATATAAATTTATAGAATTAATTTAACCTCATGTAAACGATATTTTGATTCCGAATGTATTTCGGTATCCGAAATGTGATACCTTCATTTGAAAATTGATAACTAAACAGTGCTTGCAAACGTGCTATTTTAACTTAACTTGCGAAGAAGAATTTGGGAAAGCGTATATTTATTCATATGATTCAAATTAACTTAAGCCATGTTTACTTAATTAAGATGTTACTTAATCATAAAAAGCAAATAGAAGAGTAAAATAGATAATATAGAAATGGTTTACCTGTCGGGTACCGAATTAATTTTTGGATTGCGTCTTGTGGATTTCATCTTATATACATAATTAATATATGTATAAATAAATAATATTGTAAATCGATTGACACTGTTTTATTGTGAGGTCCCTACATACTAGCAGTATATATTTATATGAAAATATCCTTTTTTGCTAGAATGGAAGCAAGACATATTTTGATCATCAATGTTCAAATGTCTTATTTTTCCAATTTCGACTTATGCTTGCAATAGCTGGGAGAGTTAAGTATAAATCTGCAAACAATTACACCCCAGTCTTCATTTTATATCTGCATCTGTTTTAGATAAGACACCCGCATATTTCATATGAGGAATGCGACCAGCCTTAAACATTCCGCCTGTCAAGCTCAAACGGCATTTTAAGAGCAGCTTATAGGTAAGAACCTGAAATAGATGCAGGCAAAAAATTACCGTGTTTAAACACGCAACATGGATTAAACTCAACCGCATTATCTCAATTAGTGCAGCATGTAAACTTCGGCTTTGCATGTGATGAAATGTTGCAATTTTGTTTATCAACTTAGATCGTTACATATGCATTGCATGTTTTCTTTTACGTTTGTTTTCCAACAACAATGTCGTATCTAGATTTCATTAGTAGTTGATTGCTCAACTATTAAACTATAAGTGAAGTCTGGTATATACAGCGTGAATGATGAGTTTATGTATTAACTGGCCAATAACAAAAAATAATCTATAATAGTAATCTATAATTTCCATGGATGGAAAGCATGGATCCATTAAATCGTATCTTAGACCAAGTTTGTAAGCTTTACGCAAGGAACCGCAACGTGGGAACTCGGAAAACGGAAAGTCAAAGGCACTGTAAAAAAATCGAATAGCAAACAAAATTAGCTTTTTATTAATGCATTATGTCACCGTTACTCTTTACGAATTGCAATAATCCCAGATGCACGGGGGATTAATATCATAATCCCAGAACGTAGCTGAGTATTCTCCAAATGTTTGCCACTTTTTCTAAACGCTATGGTATTATTTTGGACAGGATTGGAACTTATGAACAGGATTGAAAAAATGCATCCTACGTAAGCTAATTGTAGTTGACATGGTTTTAATGCACTAATGAGTAAACCCTTCAAAAAATCGATTTAATATTTTTTCAAGTTTCATAGGTATTCTCAGGAGCAGTTTAGCTAGTTTATTTGTGTTAAATGATTAAAAATGGGTGCATATTCAGGATATTGTTACAAGGCCCATCTTCGATAGATATTCTATAGTAGACTGATCACTTAGTATTTTAAGTACTTTCGTTCCATCCTCTTCAGTTACAAATATGTAAGCAGCGGTCACTTATTCGCCATCCGGCATTTTACTCCCAAGAAACTTTTCTGTTATCCACTCGTAAATTTTTAGGGGCGTAACTGAGATATATGCTGAACTTAAGATAGTGGACTAAACACAGTAGTAAGTTAAGTTTCTTGACCGATATCGACTAATTGCAGGATGGTTGATTTTTCCATCCTGCTTCGTTATACATCCACAAATTAAATAGCTACTCTACAAGCACAAATCATTTAAATTTGGACACTTAAGACACAAATTCTGTCAAATTTTCGCAATTGTTGATTTTAATAAGCTACGAAATACCATAAAAGTTTAGGAATTTTGCAAGACTTTCTACCGATATTATTTGGAATTCACTGCCAGCTGTACAGGAATGAAAACTTCAGTCATTCTGGTTGAAACTGCAACTTTCAACCAGAATAACTGAAGAATGAACTGGAATCTTCAAGTTTTCTTCAGCCTAATTTCAGTGTCGTGTTGCTTAATTGACCAAGTTTTAATAATTCATTCAGATTGGAAACATGAGTTTGCGGAAAAAAAGTACTACCTTTCTTGGGACGTCTTATGGAATTATTTTAACTTCGGACTTTCTTAAAGTTCAGTTTAGCGACACAAATATTTCAAATTACTTTTGTGCCATGTTTTCGCTCTATTTTCCAACGACCGGCAAGAGAACACAACACTAAATGGATCAGTTACGATGATGGCTAATGTATAGTTTAACTGTGGTTTCAAACTGTGGTGGAAGCTAAACTAGCCTATCAAAAGACTTATCGTACCTAAGGTTCATTTTCACCTAGCTTAATGAAAAAATAGTTTTAGTTTCTTAATGGGTGTATGTTTTGTATTACATGAATATGCGTACTCGTATGCTGTTAACAAAATCTAAAATGTATCTATCAGAAACTGATTGATTTCACATAAAGAAACGCTTCAATGTGGTTGCAAGTGAATGAAATAATTGACTGAAAAAAGTCGAATTATGCAAACCAAAAATATTCAAACACTCTATGTAACGGATATTTAAAAGAACACCGTTTTAGGGACCTAATTGCTTACATATGCCAAGCTGGAGGCGGATACATTGAACAATCATTCTGCAATCATTTTGACTAATTATTTTCTCTGTTAAGCGGGCACATAAAACGCAACTAAGCAGTGAGTTTCTCTTTTAAGAACCGTATTTACAACATTAGATACGAATTTTTCTATCAATATCAAAACTAATAAAGCATTGTAACTTACAAGCTGAAATGCAATCTTCTATCTAAACTTAAAAAAATGGTGACATTTTTACTTAATTGCGCATTAAAAATTGTCTCCTTCTCGAAATGACTTACGAATTACTTGATTGGACTTAATCCAATAGTGACTGTTCATTAGAATCTTGTCGGGTACTAAGATGACAATGAAGCATGGATTAATCGCCGACATAATATTCCGATATCTTATCTCTGCAGCGTATTACAGGTTGTTTTTCATGAAAAGTAGTAATGGAGTAAAAAAGCAGAAAAGTAATTATAGCGGCCAGGAACCTACCAAGATGGGCCCCACTCATAAGATTATTGGTTACAATGTTGTTGTCGGCCCCGCCTCGACGAACCCTTGACATTTTGATTGATTACTTTTCTTACTAGGCAAGGGCTCCCTTGGTACTGAATATCATGCCAACATGCATTAAAATATTGCTGTTCGATTGTATCAGTTTTAGATCGAGCTTTTTACGCACAAAACAATATGCCATATAAATAACATTTATCAATTTACATCAAGTATCATTATTTTCAACTGATCAGTCCACGTACATGTAATTCTGTCTGAGTACATCTGGGCCATTTTTACCTTTAAATGCCAGATATTTATTGAGAAAACATTTCTCATATCAATACATACAAACCAAATGCTCCTAACACCCATTTAAATAACAAGTGTTTCATAAAGAGTTTCGTTAACAACAAAGGCTGCACTACTACACCACTTGGATCAAAAGTTATGGGCAATAACAAGTGGCCTCTTAACGTAATCTCGTCGTAAATCACTGAGGGCACAACCTAGACATTCTCCTTTTCTTTCCTCCGGGCATGGAGGTCCGTGCACAGGACGAGGACGAAGAGGTGCTGCATCATAAAGAACGTGGAGACGAATGGGCAACATCCATAAATCCGCAGATGATGATTTAAGATAGGGTGTTGTATTTTTCGCCATTAAATGAAGTGTTTACAAGGTGTTTTCGGTCGCAAACCCTTACAAGCTTTATGGCTTGCTGATGGCTCAATTGTATTTAAATTACTGTGTGAAACAAGCACCGCTATCAGCTTTGTCAAACGGTTTCAGTAGCACCGGCATTTAGGAGATTTTGCGTTGTACGATTTAAAACGCACATACTGTAATTACATTAAATTTATGAAACTACCGAGATAAATGGTAAGTCACAAGTGATTTTTGAAGTCCCCAGAAAAAGAAGACGATTAATTGTGACTGAAAATACATAAGTTTTACCGTATGATCAGAATACGTACCTTTAGATATACTTAGTCTTCAGGGAAATTAGGAATATACAGATACTGTTTCTAATAAGTGCCGATTCCCCAGTATGATTCCCTAGTATTACAATTAATTCCTCTTTCTAAAAGCCGCTACCAACAAACGTTTTCGTGATACTTTGTTTTACTTGTTAGTTTTTCAAAAAATGCCAATTACTGCCTGTGTTTCCTGGTAAAAGATGTGATGGAAGAATGGACGAAAAAGTTATGACTTCTAAAGATCTAGTTTAATCTTCCCAGATTTCCATTTCAGTCCAATTATTGGTATTATATCAAAAATTGCTACTAAAAATGCATAAATTTAAATTATTTTTCTAATGTCCTGTGGCTCGATAACTAGGGTTCACACTCAATACTAAGTTAATGATCACGTTAAAATCAGCTATGGAGAACTAATTTTTTAAATAAAAATAGCAGTTAAAGAAGTTATTATATGACGAAACAATAACGTTCATGCTGTCAGATGTGCTTCTAACAAATGAACAGTTATGTGGAATGTAAAGTAAATAATTTTATTGCATTCAGAAAGAAACCTTAATTTTGCGACATATTTTCGTGCGTATATATTTGAAGCTGCTGAAAAATTGTTATGGAAAGCGAGCGAATCTCAAAGTCTTATTTAAATACTGGTAGAACCGTAGAAATTCCAAATTTGACTTCCGCCAATAACAAAGTTTTTGTATGGTACGTTTCTCTGTGTTCTATTAATATCTATGTTTTCTGGATTACGCTATTAACCTCTGCTTACTGAAAAACAGAATGATTGGCAATTACTGGAAACATTTCAATGTTCGTTTTAAATCCGGGAAGAAAACTTTATTAACAATAATGTTTTTTGAAAGTATGTTTTTCTTCAGCTTAAAACGTCGGTTGAAGTGTCTACCGTACGCTTGTACGAGCAAATCATTTCTGAACCCATCGTTAGAGCAGCGTTCGGGCTCATTTTGTCTTTACTTATTTCTATCTGCATGTTAACGCTATGTAGTGTCGACAATTTAAAAATATATTCGAGGGTTTCATTCTAACGTAGAAAAATGTAGGCCATATACTGCTCTTATTTGATACTCAATGCCTTGGCCAGCCTTAAATCCGGACCTACATCCAATAGACCATTTGTGCCTTAAATTAGGACTCTCGTGCTAACTCATATGCTTTTTGTACAGATTTTCGGAAATATGCTTTGGAAGCTATAACATGTTAAATGCACGTTATATTT